GAATTAGAAAAACCCAATAAACTGAGTTCTTACTACTTTCTCTGAAGTAAACTGGAAATGAACGTAAAATTAGTCAAGTTATCGCCAGTGACGAAGTCGGTATCTACTGTAGCACACATTTTGGCAGAGAAAAATTGATTCCGATGAGAGGGAACAAGAGAATGGGTCAGAAAACTGATTGGGGGGGGGGGTGAAAGGCAAATGGGAAATGAAATTGGTGAATAAATACAAAACATGAGAATTAATAAACATGAGAAATATAAGTTTATTCATTACTTGTACATCAATTAAAATGAAGATTTTAAGTTCATATTATTCGATTATATGTTAGATTTAATTCACTCTCTCTCACTGACCGATCTTGATCTAAAGAGTTCCATAGTAAAACATTCTTAACACCAATCGCATGATTAGACATTGGATATCAACATACATTGGCTTCTAATGTTAATTACAAAACATAAGAACTTATTTACAACATAATACTTTACGTGAATAAATGATAGGCATAAAGTGACTAAGGGAGGAGGAGGACTTTCTGAGTATGCTTACTAACTATAAGAAATGAAGAAATAACGAGGTTCTACAATGTTATTAGTATACAAAAGATACGCTTACAATTCCAGCTTGTGACTTCGCTGACTCTTTTTCATAGAAAAATTCTTTCACAATTAACATAACATAATGTTTAGGGACCATTCTAATAGCCCTTCTGTGAACCCTTTTTAACAATTCGATGTCCTTCCTGAGGCTCAACACAATACTTCAAATGTAGCCTAACTGATGATCTATACAATGAAATTCGCAGTAAACAACAACAAATGGCAACTTGAGAAGCACAAGCGATCACGCGACAACTAAAAGAGCAAGACTCGAGTGTGTGGTACCTAAATGGGGTCAGTTCATTTTTAATAAAGTATCAATGTGTTATTTGTTAATTTGTGACTTAGATGTCATCACGAATTGTCTACATTTTGTGCTTAGGAATAGTTGAAGTAGAATAAGAACTAATCTCGCTTATTTTAACAAACAAATTAATCCTACTGCTAGAGGCAATATTGACAGTAAACCTAATAAAAGTTGATGGTGTCAACAATTCAGACTAATTATACACTTAATATCTGATGTGGATCAAATGCTACAACCTATTCATTATCATCCTACACACTCTGACAGTAATGATGGAGTGCAACATTTATTTAGATAGCAAAACCTATCTTATTTATGTATTTGATGTCAGTGTTATCAGTCGGGGTTCTTCCGTTTCTCCCACACCAAAATTCTAACCGTTGGATTTATGGATCCCAGCCACGGCATTTAGATTTATAGATCTCTGGTAGGTTCTCATACCACGCCTATCTCGTGTACCGCGTGTTTCAAGATCTATTACTCATTATGCCAAAATTACTCCTTCACGCTAGTAAAACTACTTAAGTTCCGATTATCTGACACTTACCTCGTGCGGGGCGAAGGAAGATAATCTATCTTCGAGCACCCCAGATGTTGACTGTTCGATGGCCGACATTATAATGCCGACTGTCGAGTTGTTCTCATCTAAGTCTCTGTCAGTTGTTGTTTGAGGCTTATTTAGAGCTGTAAGAGTGTTAGGTAAATCCATCACTTTAAAACAAGTCAAACTTATTACGTCGTCAGGATACCTACACACTATATACAGTCGTGAATTTGGGGCTAAGCCTCTAGGGGACTCGCGTTTACTTGTTAGAGAATTTCATATTTATAGATGATTTTTCAAGAATTATAGACCATATTTAGCGTTATTAGTTGTTCTCTTTAGATTATTACTAAACTAATTCAACAATTTCTAAAAATCTAGTTGTTTTATAGCAGTTTCTTACTTAAACTTTATTTCGAAAATGCTTTTGAAAAATATAATTTGGCAACACTGCATATATGCCTTCAGACAGCTGAGTTTGTATTTGTTGTTGGTTTTGTTTTAGAGCAAAGCTGCATTGGGCTATCAGCTGTGTCCACTGTAGGGGGATTGAACTTCGGATATAACGTTAGTAGTTACTCCAGGTGTTGCATGGCACGTCGCAAAAGGGCGATACATTTATGTCGACCTCTGAGGAGGAGGGAAGGAGGAATCAATGATGTCACCAAAGAAGATTAGGTCATATTTCCACAAAATGTCACCAGAGGGCATGTTACTAAGGGCGCGTTGCCAAACAGCCATGAGAGGCGGTCATGACTGACATTTACGTAATAGTTCCACAAAGTGTTACCAGAGTGTGCTTTGCTAGGGGCGCTTTACTAGGCCGTCGACGTTAGAGACGATGACGCACACGTCATGTATCGATATGTCTGAACATGACTATAATACAATCAGTTTAAAACACCAGCTCATTGGTTCTATATTTAGTTACATTTCCTGACCATTTATATGTAACTCGTCCAGAAAAAAAAAAAATTAAATATCATGCAACGATTTAAAATTTATTGTTTCAGCAATTTCACTTTATGCTACCCATATAACTTGACAAAATATTTTATTTTGCACATGATACTTTATAGTGTTACAAGGGTGGACAGTGTTACTATACTTCGACATATGATTACGTCATCAATGTCTAGACAAGCATACACAAAAATCGTGTTATGATTATAACAAACATTTCTCAGTTTTTTGGAATTCTAATCATTGTGTCTCTAGTTAAGCAAGTTCATTCATTAATGTTAAATTTGTGTATGTCTAACTATGTGTTTAGTTAAAGATCAAATTTGGTTTAGAGTTGTATATGCAAATGGTAAACAGTAAACAAAATTGTTATTGTCATTTGTGCAGTATGTTAAAAAGCTATAATTACCATAAGCCTCATCACTTCTATTGATTTGAATTGTCTCAAATGATTGGTAAGTGTTGGTATTCTAATTCATTACACGAGAAAATCAGAAAAATATATTTAAGTGAACAGTAAGTCTTATATTTTAGAAAATTACAAGGATTACTATATTTAGTCGCATCAAAAATGAGCATATAGAGTTTAATTACTCGTGGGTAAAATTGGATAAAAGAATGAAACAGAGCTGTAAATATGCATTAGTATAAACATAATCAAACTTTATAATTAGTGAAACATGCATTATATGTCTAGAGTTTGAACGTTTCACTTATAAAACACTATGAAATAGTCATTTTCGGGATTTCAGACATATGCTAACATAAAAATTAAGTAATATGTAAAGTTAAACTGTACTTCATTATAAACTTAACGAAACATTTGTTATATATATGATTTATTAATAAACCCATACAAAATAGTCTCTATAAAGAATTGTATACTATAAACTAATAGACTTGTGAAAAGTATGTTATAAAAGATGAAATATTAATGTTAAGGCTTTGATTATTCTTATAGTGAAAAGTATAAAGTTGATGACATGGTCACATGTTGAGACACGCTGATATCTGTTGATCTACAACATTCTCTGGTGGTTTGCTCGCGAACCATATGCAAGCTCGATGATCTCATTGGATACACTTTGTTTCTCCCATTTTATGCACCTAAAACATGCCCTCTAATGACACAAGTTGTAATTATAACGTCTTGGAATCGGCCTCAAGCAACGCGCCACGAATTAGACGCTCTCTGGTGTTACTTAATATAACTATGATATAGCGTGACCCCCTTGTCCCAAGTTCTCCTCTCCGTCACCTGAGGCAACCAACCAGCGTGAGGCAGCATCCTTTAGACGCCCATGTGTAGTCCTAGCTACTTATACAAACATCTGCATCGCCTAAGTGAAAGATGATACAGCAGCCTGGCCAGTTGAGTACAAGCTCTCTTTAACAACCATAGAGGTATGTAACCTTGGCCTTAGAAAATTATTCAAGGGTATGAATTAATTCATTATGTCTGTGATCTATATAAAGAATCGAATTTTCAAGTGTTTTATAACTTACTTTTGTGGATCCTTTATTATGCATCTCCCGACGTGTGACTTTATATACCGTGAAGTAAATACTCTGTTTAATTTTTAGGTTTACTGATATATTTTTTGATAGAGAATGTGGATACTGTTACTTAGTAATATAGATGCAATTAACTGTTATGTTGCTATATTTGGCAATCCAGTTTTGAACACCGACCACCAGCAATTAGGATACATATTTAATGAAATTAGTAAGAAGAATTATAGCAGCCTAAAGATGTTTATTGAGAAAGTAAGGCTTAAGGAGTTTAAGATGGCGAAACATTTTATTTATTTTAGCACCCTTCCTATCAGTAGAAACAAGTGGGTGATGAATAGAGAGTGAATTTCAGCCAATGTTAAGAAGCTTACTTTCAAGCTTGATTCTTCCAGTCCAATAGCTGTTACTTGTAAACGATAAACGTAGCTTGTTTTAGTAGAGAAATAAACTGAAAGCTTTATAAACGGCTTTGATATGATAAACTCATAGTTTTCATAATTTTATTTTCTATTTCCAGTTTTCTATGAAACGTAAATAGCAATGTGAACAATGTTAACTTCTGAAGAACTGATTCAGTCACTGAAATTAATAACATCGTTTATTGCAGACTAATACACCGAATTATATCGAAATATATTTCTCAAACTTAAACACTTCGTTTTATGTTACATAGATTTCAATTAAAATACATATTCTTCGATAGAAAAACCTTAAATACTGTTATCAATTTTTTCACGAAGAAGGATTGAGAGGATACAATAATATTAAGTTTACAGCCTCATCATATTGAACGTTGCTGTGCGAAAAATTATGACGCCCTCCACCAATGTGGAGGCCCACATCTCCATCGAATTTTCTTTCTATTTAAATCACTTTCCCTGATGATCAAAACATTCTTATTCTTCAACAGGAATGATTCTGCTGATTTATTTAACACCATTTTCTTGTATCCTTTCTTCTTTTTTTATTATTTAGTATAATATTCTATGAGATATATTTTACTTATCATCTTATTTCTTATCGGCATCACCTTTGCTGATATATTATTTTCATTTTAACTACTGAATTCCCGACAAGAAATACAGCAAACCTCATTTTATGCTCAGTAAACAAGGTTAGATGTAAGAAACAGTAGTTTTTTACGTTCTTTCTTTAAGGTTGTGCTCAATCGGGAATTTCTTACTACAAAGTTTTTGTGATTTTCCAGACAGTTTATCTATACATAATACAGACATTCACTGGAAACATTAATTTAACTGAAATTTTAAGAAACATAAAAACTGGTACTTAATTTTCTTTGAAAGAACTATAGTAAAAAACTTACAGTTTATAGTTCAGTTAATACTATGAAGACACTTAACGTCTGGGTATGTTGTGGTCTCAGTTTTCTAGTTAAACCTTTGTCAATTGTTTTCATTTTCATCCAAAACTGACGACTGAGTGTGGATTCGTTATAATATTCTGATATTCAATTATTCTGGAACTTTGTTTCTATTGTTAGTGTTCTTCTATTTGCTCACTAAAATATCGTATACTTCCACTAATATGTATACCTTTGTAGGCAGGACACTGATGATTGAAGATGACCTTCAAACGTTTGAGTTTATTGAACGTCTTTTTGAAACAACATAGTTCTCACAGCAAGGAAGTAGAGTTTGATGAAAGTAGATATGCATAAAAAACTAATTTTTTAGGTCTTTATTTTAATCTTAATAGGCTTATATTCTTAAAATCTAAAGAAAATGTGAGGAAAAAATTAAGACCCTCACGCTAAGGTAACGCTCTGGATTTCGGGAACTGGCGAGCTGAGTTCGAATTCGCGCAATACCACAAAATGACCCCTTTCCCAGTTTAAGCTGTGAGTGCGTTATAATGACAGTCAATCCATTAGAGGGATTATGGGTGGTGGGTTGCTGCTGCCTGGCTACCTTTCCTCTCTGGACAGTACTTCAAAATTAGAAACGGAGGTAGATTGTATTTATGGCAAAGTTACTAAGACTATTAAAATTTTGATATATCAAAACTATTATCTTGCCAGGATATGGGATTTATTTCAGAATTAGTTAAAGAATGTAATAAATAATTTGGCTATAAATAATTTTCTAATAGAGTTTGTTTGTTTTAGAGTAAAGCCACACCTGCTGTGTCTTCCGCGAGTAATCGAAAATAGGATTTTAACGTTTAAGTCCATAAACTTACGACTGTAAATAGTGGATAAATTTTTGACTGACATTTTCGCCCCCTCAGAAGTAAAGCATAACGTTCAAATGAAGGATCTTTTATGTCACATTACTATTTACTGGTATAGATGGTTTGAATATATATATATATTGAATCAGCTATACGATATCTTGGTGAGAATAAGAGAATACTAACAGTAGTAACAAGGAAAGCTCCATAATAATTTGACTTATGATTTCAGTACCACATGTTTTCTTCCAGGTACAGGTCATTTGTATTGATAAATGGTTATCATATGTAAATAAAAGTGTACTTATTTTTTTAGATAATCCGTAAATCAGCTTTTAGAAAATGGAATATTTTAACAAAATGTTCCGAAATTCCCCCGAGCTTTAAAGTTAAAATAAAGTAATAATTCCTAAGACTTTTGGGTATATAATTTCCTATTATATTAGACATAAAAGTTTACATTTACCTCTATGCATTATAATCCAACTTCAATATACGTTTATCTAGGATCAATAACTTCACAGTCATCACTTGAATTATTTCTTCTGATGTAAAATGTGAAATAACTTTAAATATTTACGCACATAATTCCAGTTCTAATGTTAAGATTTAATATAAAAATATGAGCTACTCACTTCTAGTTCCTGTCCTTTCTTGTCAAGTGGCAATACGAACGTAGCAATTCCTGCGAATAATGCTAAAACCGAGTATATAACCACTGTTGCCTTGGGCACAGATTCCAATAGAACCTGTAAAATACACTGTGTAGTTAATGTAGCCTACTATAATGTCTTTTCTTCTTTTATTGAATAGTAATTAAAATTTATTCTCTATCACTGTGATATTTTTAGACAAACTGATTTCGAATATATATCTATAATAATAAAAGGGCGTGTCTATGTGTGACCGCCACAGCTCCAAGAGTAAAGAACCTACAAACCTAAAATTTTGCACACATACTAAGTGAACCATGTGGGTGTGCACCTGGGTATTATTAATGCGCGAGGCATCGGTTTGTGAGGCAAGCTAGCAAAAAACCACATAGAAAAGAATATGTGACTGCCATAGCTCTAAGAGCAAAGAACCTAGAAACATGAAAATTTGGACCCATAATAAGTACTATTACTTATCTTATCCATGTGTTTTTGTGCATGCACATCTTTTTAATGAGAAAAGCTAGAGAAACATCACATAGGAAAGAAGTGTTTCCTTATATTACAAATACAAATCACAGACACGCACGTCTTCAAGAGGAAAGAACATAGAAACATGAAATTTGGTACCCATACTAAGTGGACCCTGAGAGTGAGCATCTGGGTATTACTTATCTTATCCATGTGCGTGCGTGCACGCGCATCTTTTTAATGAGGCAAGCTAGCAAAAGCCACATAGAAAATAAGTGGTTCCTTACATAACAATTTCTAATATATGGTTTTGGCAACAATGCGTTCCAACAATGACTTTTATGTCATATTGCTTAGCAACAAAAGTATATAGGTTATATTTTTCTGCTAAAATGGGTTCAGAATACACACACTATCAACGTAATAACTTGAGCAAAGACAGGTACTTTCGTTAGTTAATAACATTTTTGGTTTTAACGAAAGCCATTTGTAACTAGGAGGTAAGCTTGAGATCTTATTACACTAAAATTCAAGGTTCAGTCTCTACAGTGGGCAGAGCACAGAATGATAACAAAACAGACAAGCAATCTAATAGTTGGTAAATACACAATACGGTGTAATCTAACATTAAGTTTACATCTATTATATGGGATAACAATAACAATTTTTTAAGGATACTAGTTTAGACACTTCTAGGTGTCCTCTTCAGTTAAACGTTAGTTTGAACATGGGTGTTTAAACTCGTATCCAAATATTTTAATGTTGTTTCGCAATAGTGGATCTAAGCTTTATTTTACATAAACTAACTTTCAATGACCCACATATAATCCGGTGGTTACGTCCTCAACACCTACAACTTTTCTTTACTAGTTAAATTTGGCCTTTATTACTTATTTACTTATGTAAGCCCCTCTCTTCTCTTTGGGCAATTAAAATTATTAAGAAATTAACAACTGAGGTTCGTTTGGATAAAACAAATGGGACTAAAATACGAATTCAACATAGCTTCTATGTTATTTAAACGTTAAACTTCTATGCCTTTGAAATATTTTAAAACCACAAAGTTCATAAAATTGATTAACCTTGCGCTTCTTAATTGTTATTAGAAAGTAAATAAAACAGCTTAAATCTATAACGTATTATATACAGCAAGTTAAACTGAAGTTACCTGAGCTACAAGTGGAGTGACTACAGTTCCAAAGCGACCAAAAATCAAGTAGAAACCATAAGCCAATGCACGGTGAGTAGTTGGGTAGGCCTGTGAAAACGTATACTATAACAATATCTTAGAAATTCCGTTTGGCATAGGTCAGATGTACAGTAGTTTTTTGTTTTTTGTTTTTTGTCTCATATGACAGTTCATAAAAATAGAGACCAAATAGGTGTCTCTCACATCTAAGATGATATAAACACATTTAGATTTTCAGAGATTATTAGGAATATCATCTTGATAGCTATAATATTTTTAATAAAGATGTTACTTGTCACCAGTGTTCCCTCTAAGCTGTGCGGACGCAAAACAACCAATCAAACGCCACGCACTTAATTATTCCAGCCACGCACATCCTCAGTAATGGCGAGGAGTCTCAACAAGTTTACGGCCTTAGTGACCCTGGCAGTTGATAGGCCTAAAGCCCAAATAACCAAATTGTAGCATTGAAAAGTGGCCTAATGATCCAATAGGGTTGATGATCTAAAAGCCCCCCCCCCAAAAAAAAAAATAAAAAAAC